AAAACATAGGTACTATACAATTACCTAACTGATTGTGGGGGATGGTAATAATAGTGTGTATAATCATAATTTTCCTTTTTAATAGAAAGGTGAGAGAAATGTCAATTAAAAGGTCTCATCTGGGATACTGGTCTTTTTACATTGTCAGGAACAGTTTAAACTGGCAAGTAGTGGTTTAATTACCACTATTTTGTAGTACAAAAAATACATTAAAAGTTTTGAAGTTTTAATTTGAGAATTATTTTAGTGCCACTCAGACTTGGAGAAATTATATTTTCTTCGTTACAAGAGGTTTTCATTTTTTTGATTTTTCTTTTGGGGAGTCAGAGTCTCTCTCACTCTTGATCAGCTCGAACCTCAGCCTCCCAAAGGCGCGGGATTACAGGCTGAGCCACCGAGCCCAGCTCACAATAAATTTTTTAAAAATCAGAGGAGAGAGATATGAAGCCTGGGTGACGGGGGGCGGGAGGAGCTCTGTCTTGAATTTTCATAGAAGAAGGGTCGGTACAGGGCAGTTGAGAGCAGCAAGAGCACGAGCAAGAGGTGGAGACACACAGGACATGATACGTGCCAGGACAGACAGGAGGGCAATGTGCTTGAGTGTGAGTGGGGGGCAAATACTGCTATGGTTGGGCCCAGGGGGATGGCCAGATTGACCTCTTCCCATAGCTGGCCCTTCAGTGCCAGCCTGCCCCACACAGTAGTCCCAACATTTTTAGGGACCTTTGAGGACTGGGAGCTTCTCAGAGGTCCCTCCTGTGGTCTGCCCACCAGTGCTCATGTCTGGCAGGGCAAAAATAGAACAAGACACCCTTTCGGAGGCTCAGCCTTCATTTAAGGGAAAGACATTTGAAGAAGGCTCAGACATGGGGGAAGAGTGATGGTGGCAGGGAGGGTGGGATGAAGGGGGACCCTGGGGACAGAGACTTCAAACCCAAACCAATCCTTTGCCTGATTTCCCCAGAGTTAGTTCACACATGGCCCTGCATTTGCCCAGAAAATTATGAACCAATCAGCAGGCTGTCCCGAGGGACAGGAGGCGCTGCTGGCGTTAATGAGTGAGCCCCTCCCACCCCCAGACCCTCTCTGCTATCTCTGCTGCCTACCTAGTCTGGGTGGGGGAGGTGCCCTTCACTACAGAGACTTGCCCCCAGTACCGTTTGGGGCCAGAAGGACTCAGAGCTAGAGGTCCAGCAATGGCAGAACACTTGTTGGAGGTCACCCAACACCATGGCAGCTGGGCTGGTTGAGAGCTTGGTGGCAGCCAGTACAGAGGTGTCCAGGTGCAGCAGTGAGAGAACAGGAGGGACAGGCTGCTGTGGTGAGGGAGGGGTAAAGGGTGGCACAAGTAGGTCCCCACCTGGAGGGTGCACCAGTCAGCAGCCCTAGGCTCAGAGCTCACTCAGCCCCCATCCTGTCCCCTCTGAGCTTAAGCACCCCTCATCTCTACAGTGGAGAGGGGAGCGGGGCTGGACTAGGTAATTTCCAGGGTCTGCCTTCTGACATCTTGAGGGGCTGTAAGTTCCTGCCAACTTTCACCATGCAAAAGCTAAGTGGATAGGGATTGGAGGGTTCAGCAGACCGGGTTTGAGCCCTGCTTACTAGCTGTGTGAACTTTGGCAAGTTGCTCAATTTCTCTGGACCTATGGATTCCTACCTTATGGAACTGTTAGGAGAACTTAAAGGATCACTTGTGCAAAGTGTCCAAGCCCAGGGTCCAAGTTAAGTGGGTTCTGCCCCTTCAGAGCTGCACCTCCTCCAGTGCCAAATGCCCCCTCCAAGGCCAGCCTCACCACTTCTCTTGACACATTTGCCTCCAAGTAATAGAAACCCCAACTCGCATCAACTTAAACATAAGGATATTTGTTGTCATAAGTCACAAGAAGTCCGGACATAGGCTGCTGCCCCAATTGTGCTGGCTCAGAAGCTCCTCCGGAACCTAAGATCTTTCTAACATCCCAAATTGCCATCTTCAGCTAGCCTACAGCTCAAGGGGGATAAATGTTCTGGGCATGCCATCCAGATATAACCCAAGAGGAGGGGAAGAGGTGGATATCCTCTTCTTGTGGGTGGTTTTACTAAACTGGAAACCAAACTCCCCCAGGCAGACCTCCCTCCCATCTCATTGGCAGGGAATGAGACACTTGCCCTTTTCTGAGCCAATCACAGAGGAGGGGTGTGGCTCTGCTCCCTCCCATCTCATTGGCCAGAATTAGAGTACTTGCTCTTTCCTGAGCCAATCACTGAGGAGGATTGTAGTTCTGCTCCCTCTTGCCTCATTGGCCAGAATTGGGTCACTGCTCTTCCCTGAGTGAATCACTGAGGAAGGGTGTGTTTCCACCCTTGTGGGTAGTGATGAGGTGGTGTGCTGGAGGGACTTCCTTGACCAAAGGGTGTGTTGCTAGCTATGAGGATGGAGCTGGAATGGTTGCGGGCCAGGCGGGCCTCAGTGCCACTTGGTAATGATGGCCAAACCCAAGATCTGGTGAGTTAAGGGATAGGTGGGTCATCAGGCTTGACCTGGCCCAACCTGCTGTACCCAACATAGGATGACCCATAGAAGGGCCATCGTGGGACAGTCTGCTCCTGTTGTCTCCACCTCCCACAGAGCTGGGGCAAAGCTCCAAGAAGCTAAAACACAGGCAGAGGTGAAAAAAGACAAGTGTGCTCACAGCCAGCCTGATCCCGGACTCTCCAGGGGCCCCTCTGCATCCCCCACAGACCCGCCCTAGTGCTAAACTCCCCACTAGCCTGGACCAGTGTAACAGCCTTCCCTCAGGCCCCTGCCATCCATCCCTTGAGAAGCAGCCAGGGCATCCCCTCCCCAGGGCTAGGCTCTTCCCCAGCCAGGGCCAAGCCCCACTCTTAGCCAGGTCCTCAGGCCCTGTGCCCTCTAGCCTCCTGACTCACAGCTCCAGTTCACACAAGTGTTCCCCAGCCCCCCTGGATGACTCACTGTTCTCCACACCTGTGCTGCCCTCTCTCACCTCCAGCCTCTATCTCTGCTGAACTTTCAACCTGGAACGGACTTCCTCCTTCTTACCTACTGCCCCTGTCCTTCCAGTCCTCCCTGAGGGAGGGGTCAGAAGTCGTGGCTTTCTCCTGGGACATCCTGGCTCCCACAGCTACAACTTGCTTACCCTCTACACGGATTGTGTGTGGTGTGTGTGTCTGTCTCCTATCCCCTTGGAAGATGGTGGGCTCAGGGGCCGGGGCAGGGTCTGGCTCAGCCCCTACATGGGCCCGGCAGCACCCCACAGGCATCAGGCATGGAAAAGTCCTCCAGTCAACATTTGTTGAGTTCAGCTGAACCAAACATTCACCTTAACAGCAAAATAGCCATGGTCGCCTTCAACCACAGGTGCAGCCTTCCAGATGCGAAATGTGAAGCATTTTCCTATTGGATGATGGGAAAACCAGGTTCCAGAGAGAGGAAGAGACTTGTCAAAGGTCACATGCAAAGTTGAGGCAGACCCAGGCCCAGAACCAAGGTGTCTAGCTCCCTAGTGCCCTCCCTGCCACCCCTCCCATCAGCTGCCAGCGACTCCTCCCAGGGCGGCTGCCACTGTGCCTGGGCATAGCAGGCAGC